GATTCCTTAATATTTGTGTAAACCCCACACGCTGTGAGGTTCTGGCGCCCTAAATCTTGAATGACTGCACTCTTTTTTATATGAAATATCCTATATACTGTAAGTGACATGAAATCCGAATACCCATTACAAAATTATTATTGTTTTAAGCTATTCTCTTGTGGCATCGTAATATAATTACTAAAGGGTGTTTTTGTAGAGTTTTATATCTTTAAAATGGAGTAAAACAATGATGAACATAAAATTGACTTTATTCGAAACATAATCTTTTGGCATTATAATTTTAATATGATTTCTGTCATATGGCCGTAAGACGTTGTCTAATCTGGAGGTCCAATTTTCGATCACTTCTTCCAATGTTTGTCGCCATATATCGGCAATAACGTAGCTAATGTTCTCTAAGTAGTCAATCGTTTCAACTGCGTATACTAGCACTTTCACATATCCCCACATAAAATAGTCTAGCATTGTCGAATCGCACGATCTTGAAGGCCAATTCACGGTCCGAAACCTGAAACTATGCGGTTACCAAAGGCTTCCTTCAATAAATCAATTGGGGCACGAGCTGTGGGACATGTTGCGTCGGCTTAGTGAATCGACAGCTCCTGTACATCATGCTTGTTCAATTGGGGAATGAAAAAGGCAGTAATCATGGCTCTGTAGCGGTCACCACCTACTGTAGCGTTCTGGTCAGCTTCGTGTTTGAAGAAGTACTATCTAATGATTTCATCAGACCATCAAGCACACCAAAATGTCAGTTTTTCTGGAGGTAATAGTTTCTTAACATACATTTGAGGGTTATCTTAACTCCCAATATGGCCGTTTTGTTTGTTGACGTAGCCATTCAACCAAAAGTGAGCTTCATCGCTAAGTAAAATTCGCTTATGAAAATCAAAATCAGCAGCAATCTCGTTTTGGACCCACTCTCCGAATCTACGCCTTCCTAGTTGACGTTTCTTGGGTGCGTCTGGGCTCGCTTCTGATTAGGTGGTCAATATCGTCCTGAGATATCCTGTTCCATGCGCTAATTAACTCATCCCGAATTGCTCCCAAAGTTTGAGGAGGATAGTCCAAAATAAGAATGATCTAAATCTCCGACCCATCATGTCCCACATGTGTTCAATTGGAGATAAGTCTGAAAATCTCTGGAGCCAGGCAACAGATTTTCTTCAGCCTGTTCAAGAGAGTCCATCGTCACTCCCAGAATGTATGGTCTTGCTTTATCTTGCTGAAAAATTTAATGTTGGTGCGTCTGAAGGTAGATTATGAGATGAGGTTCTAAAATTGCTTCTACGTGTCGCTGAGCTGACATATTCCCTCTGACGAAGATTGAAGGTGAACTTTAACCCATTTAGGCTCATGGTTACGTTAACGCATCACATTGAATGCAATTTTTTTACATTCATACTAAAGATTTTTTTTATAAATTGCGAATAGTATTGTGTTTAAAAAGATTTAAGAATTTAGAAAAATCACGCAAAAAAATATAATTTCAAATAGCGTTAAAAATAGCAAATTGACTATAGGAATTATTACAAGCGACGTACATTCTCAAAAAATGTACATAAATGGACATAAAATAATATTCTAAACGTAAAATTTATATGTTTTTAGAAAATGATGTTTCAGGACTTTAAATATAGCGTTGCGTTAACGCAACTATGGGACAATAAATATAATACGTAGAAGTGACTAATTTCTTGTGTAAACCTAACTAACCTGATAAACACGTGGTGTTTGTTATTTTGTCTTGCGTATGCGCGGTTTATCAGTCGTATCGAATATCAATACGACTGTTATTGGTATTTTTTTTGAGGTGCTTTCTGTTAGTCATATGATGTCTGTAAGTGTTCAATAATAGTCGACAAAAATTGGTATCCCGTTATATTCTCAGATAAAGGCCCAGAGAAACTTCTAAAAGGTCCTTGAGCATAAAAGAGCTCGAACTATAGTTGAAAACCTGGATGTAGATGATGAGATAGACGTTTGTTTAATACCTCCAGAAGTTGATAACCTAACAGGCGAGGATGATATGGGTAATAAATAGTTTGCCGAAAGATGTGCCTGGGACATTTGAAATAACAAATATAAATGAAGACGACGAGTTAGATGAGACAATTCTATGTCAGTTTCACGTACCATCATCAAAAGCCAAAAACTAGCTCGAGTCGAAAACGTAACCTGGTGCAGAAAACCCATTGAGTATGGAAATGAGCTGATGAAGAAACTCGCATAAAAAATATCGTTGAGGAGTTGCATGCAAAGTCGGTACTGGACTATTTTATGGAAATGTTCAATGAAGGTATTATGCAATGCATCATTTCAAATTCAAAAAAATATTCGAAAAATCAGAACCGTACCAACTTTGACTTGGATCGAAATGATTTAGAAATATTTTTGAGATTGTTGATTTTGAGTGGATATCACACTCCTCCTCGTGCAAAGCTTTACTGGTCTTCCGATGAGGATAAGGGAGTTCAGTTTGTGAAGAATGCAATGTTTCGAAATAGATTTGTTGAAATAAAGCAGAACATACATCTTGCAGATAATATACATCTTACGATCAGCTAGATAAACAAGATAAATTTGCAAAAGTTCGTCCAATGATTGACCTGTTACACAAAAGTTTTTTAAAATATGGTGTTTTCGGTCAATACTTATCAAGAGATAAACAAATGGTCCCATACTTCGGTCGTCACAGTCGTTTCAAAGACTACCACAAGTGAAAATAAAAATATTTTTGTGTTATACGTCTAGTCCCAATGTTGCGTTAACGCAACGTTAAAAGGAATGGACGTGTTTTTTATGTAGCTTTTAAATTATCTTTATTTGTGTTTAATTAAATATATTATTTAATAAAAAATTATTGGTTTTATTATGTTTTCTATAAGTAGGCCTAAGTGGATTAACTAAAAGCAATGACACTCTAACAGTGCGGTGTATGTGCCGTTCGACAAAGAATTGAGGATTTCGCCTTTCACCACGTCGCACATACCTTGATTTTAAATAATTAGCCGACCAAAAATCAAATTTCAAAAGTGACGTTAAAAATACAAGAAACATCATAGTGACAAATGATGGTTTGTCTTAACAAAAACTTAACGATCCCCACTCTGAACTGTTCACCGGGCACGTGCGAATGCGCGCGTAAGTATTTTTTTAGTGACATTTACTTACAGTGTTCCCAAACCTACCGATTAATCGGTAGACGTACCGATTTCGATGTTTTTCTACCGATGTACCGAAAAAGGCTTAAATTGTACCGAATTTTATATTCAGATAGAAATTTTTACTTATACTTAAATTTGAGAAGAAATATGTAAGAGACAAAACAATTTTTCTTGCGATACCTGTAATTTGCATTGAGCATTTTTGTGTATTCACGAAAACGTGTGAAAACATTCAAATATTTATTCTTAATGATATGATACCTAAGCGGTACTTTACAAAGTACATGATGTCATAAAAGCTAATAATACAATAATAAATGAATCAAAATCCATTGTGATCCCGACCGCTTGATTCTGGGAATTTGTTAAGTTAGGAGACTTAAAACTGGAACCTCTTATACTGTGGTATAGTTGTAAAAGTTAATAAAGGGTCTTTTTAAAAAGTACCTTCGCGAGTTCAAACCTTTAAGTTGCGCAAAGTGCTAGTTGAATTATTTGAAATATTATATGAACGCTGCAACATTTTCGCAGATTTGATAAATATCCCTGAATCAAAAAGGGACAAATCAAATATTAAATCTAATACCAGCTCTCTACATTCAAATACCTCTGCCCTCGTCCAATCTTGAAATTATATAAAATGCAACTACTGCAATGACTCAGCTCACACAATTTGTTTATGCAGACAATTTTCTGCTCTCTCTCACGCTAAAAAATACAATTTTCTGAAATCAAATCAGACGTGTTCCAATTGCTTGGGTACAATACACAACCATGATGATTGGCTCTCTCGCGGCTGTTTAATATGCTCCAAAAAATATCACACTCTGCTGTATCAAAATTCTTATGCAGAAAACACCTCATTAAACTCATTATGTATGTATATATACTATTCTTAAGATATCTAAAAAAGGTATTCACTAAACAATTAGCTAATACCAGTTAATAAATTTCGTTGCACATGTAATGTGGTAAGTTGAAAAAAATATTCGCAATTCACTTTGAAAATTTCAAGAATTTGCGGGATCTTTCAAAATGTTCTACTGAAAAATTAGGCTAGATTGACATATCAACTATTGTCATACCGCTACTGAGTTGTTTTTCCAAGCTTTATTCACGAATGATTGTAGTAGCAAAATATAATATGATATATCAGCACATATCTACCCATAGTCAGAGATTCTCTCCCTAAGGTAGGTAGGATTAGACAGGATTCGATATAATATATCGTATAAAGTCCTGCTGTATCTATTAAGTACCAGAGCTGACATATATTTCATTCTAATTTTTAACCGTTTAAGAAATTTTACTAAATGACATATCAAGATAATAATCTGATTTTTTGCATAATATACTTTGCTATACCACTATAGAAATATTACTAGTCATAGAAGAAAGTGAAAAATATCGATTTTCACTAAATACATCAACAGGCAAGAAAACGATCTTATCTAAGGATCTCAAAATCACCTGAGAGGATAAAATAACTAAGTAAGGAGTACTCTCAATAGAGAAAAAATTTGTGTAACAGTGAATTTCTGACATTTAATGTCACATTTTAGGAACTGAAAATTGAGTCTATATGTGAAAAATGGTTTTAATCGAACTAAACAATTGGAAATAATTGACCATAAAACAATCACTACCAAAACCTACCACTGAACCAAACCTACTGATGTGAAAAACAACAAAAAAAAATGGTGATTTTTGGTTAAAAGAAATTGTTTGATATGTGTTGACATTTATTATGGAAAACCTTATATGGACTCATGATACTTCTAGTCTATTCCATCATATTGTAAACCTTTAACATAAAATAAAACAACATAAAACTATTATGCACAGTTTATTAACAAACAAATGTAGATTTATCCAAAACAAATGTAAATAAAGTCTTCTAACAGGTCAAAAAAACATAATTATAAGATAGTCTTATTGTATATCGAGATTTTTATCAGATTACAGAAATTTGATATCCATATTTTTTAAGACTTAATACCTTTGGCAACATCTTCCATGAAGTTGGCCAGTTTTACGTCTCTTCCACTTAATCCATTAACATCGTGTGAAGACAAGGTAACTTGTACTTTGTTGTATACATTAAACCATTCTGGGTGATGATCCATCTTTTCAGCAAGAAGAGCAGTGCGACTCATAAAACCAAAAGCCTAAAAAAAGATAGAATGCGATAATTTTATGACACATTTTATGACGTCCGATTGTAATCGGACGTCCGGTTACTAAACCGTAGAGATGCCACTTTGGAACAGGATCTGTTCTTTTCGAAACAGGTTTTTATTTGGAACAGGTTGGAACAGATATTGATCAATAAGTTTTCCTGTTCCAATATAACAGTCTTTTGTCACACAACAGACCAGTGTATTTACAATTACTTCAGAGACCGGTGTTGCATTGCTGTGCTTTTATATGGTTGTTGCAGTTCCAGTGGAGTGGAAAGTATGTGAATGTGCATAAACCATGATTGTAAACTGTGAATTGTCGACTCGCGACACAACTTCAAACTTTCAAAATATACAACCACAAATACAATGGTCTATTGCAACAACTTTTCTGGAACAAACCGAACCGGTACTGAAACAACCCATAACACAGTGTTAAGTCCGCTTTACATTTACGAGTACTCGGATCCGAGTTACTCTACTCGGAGTGCAACTCGGAAGTATAAACGTCTACTCGGAGCCTCTTGTCACTCGGATCCGAGCTCGGATTGAAGTTGACGCAAACCGAGTATCAGTACGAGTACCTGTACGAGTGAGCGTCAAAGTGGTGAAAATTCCAAATTAAAAATGGCGGAACTAAGATTTTCTGCAGATCAGATGGATCAATTTATCGATCTTTATCGTTCTTTTGAATGTTTATGGAATGTGAAACTAAAGGAGTATCGGGACATTATCAAAGGAAATAATGCTTTAAATTAGAATTAGGTAATCATGTGTAGCCGAAACCTAAGCCTAAAGCTGAAAATGCGAATGCTTAAATGTTATGTTTTCTCGGTCCTGTTATATGGGGTGGAGGCGTGGACACTAAATAAGCAATGTATGGGTAAGCTAGAGACACTTGAGATGTGGGGGTACCGAAGAATATTAAAAATCTCCTGGAAGGATAAGATAACTAACCAAGTTGTATTAGACAGGATGAACAAACAAAAGAAGGTCGTATTGAGTGTTAAAATGAGGGAACTACAATACCTGTTACATATTACACGCGGGAATAAATATCAACTGTTACAACTAATTATGCAAGGAAATATTGAAGGTAGGCGCAGCATAGGTAGGAGAAGAATGTCATGGTAGACAAACCTCAGGGAGTGGTTTGCTTGAACTTCCATACAATTGTTCCGAGCGGCAGCCTCCAGGGTCAAAATTGCCGTGATGATAGCCAACCTTCGTAGCGGAGATGGCACGTGAAGAAGAAGAAGGTAATCATTAACTTTAACAAACCTCTTGTAAATATTGTTTCACCCAAATGCTTTTCTTTGTCTTAATTTTTTGTCGTTATTTTGTCGAAACTACTCTGATCGCTCGGATTTAATGTAATCGATCGCAGTTCCACTCGTAACTCAAATCCGAGCTACTCGGATCCGAGTACTCGTAAATGTAAAGCGACCTTTAGACTTGGAACAGTTTTTTTGAAACAGATAATTTTTGGAACTGAAACAGGTTGTAACAGTCGTTGAAAAATCCCTGTTCCAACCATCCCTACTAAACCGTGATTTTAATTTAGGTAGCTTGCCGTGGTCGTATAAACCCATTCGTACCAATTTTAAATTGGACGTCCATTTACATGTTTGTGAACGAAACCGTATATCGTAGTTAACCAGGTACTTGCCCGCAGCGCTAAGGTCAGTGATTGAATTTTATTATATATATATATATATATATATATATATATATATATATATATATATATATATATATATATATATATATATATATATTGTGATGTGGGTATTAGTAAAAATAGTTAGGTAATGACTGTGAATATTGATTTATAGGATTTTATTAAAAGAAAACCATGAGTTATAATTTTAACCTACATCTTACAACAACAAAACATATCTATCTGTCTCTTGTCACCGTTCACTCTCGGTGGACACTGTCATGGTGACTTCAGTGGTATTCAGCCACGGAGCGGTGTGGCTGTTACATCCTCCCCCTTTGCACCACCCTGGCGACTCGCGGGTGGGGCAACAGAGTCTAAGCAGGAATAGAGCTCTACAGGACAGCAATGACAACGTTTTGGTCGGGGTTGTCTACGTCTGGCAATATGGTCAGGTGCAGGTTCAGCTTCAATATGAGCAAGGTCATCTCCAACATGGGGGCTCATTTCGCTATCGTCTAACCCAAGGGTCAAAGACTCTTGGCAGGAGACCAGTGGAGCAGGGGGGTCGGCTTCTGAGGATTTCACTGGACGACCTCTTCTACGGAGAGGTTGAACTGGAGCAGGGCACGGATCTTCTGGATCGGCATGGAAAGGCGTCAAGGCTGAGACATGATATTTCCCAGCAGGAACATCTGGAGTGTCGATGTGTGAAACTTCATAGGTTGTAGGGGACAGCATTTTGGTCACCTTGTAGGGTCCGTCACGACGCGGCGCGAACTTCGAAGTTATGGACTTAGACGCGTCACTTAGTGTATGCGAATCGACTAGCACAATATCACCTACTTCGAACGAAACCGAGCGGCGGTGGCAGTCTTTATACTTCTTACGTCTATCTTGAGATTGTTCATGTGTCTCGCGGGCTTCACTAAGAGCTTTACTCAAAGTTAGTAGATAGGGCGTGATTTGTGGCACGAAATTGTCCTTGGCTATGATGCTTCGAAAATCACGATTTGCATCATCAGGAGTTCGTAACTCGCGACCGAACGTGAGGTACGCAGGAGTGAAACCGGTTGAGTCGCACTTCACAGTGTTCATCGCGAACCGTATAGCGGGTAACTTTTCAGACCAAGACGAATGGTCATTATTTGTTAGAATAGCTAACTGAGTTTTAATGTCTCTATTTTTTCGTTCGACGGGGTTAGCTTCCGGGTGGTATACAGGTATAAGGTTTTGTTGGTATCCGAAACAATGCGCCACTTGCTGCATTACCGCACTCACGAACTGAGTACCGTTGTCACTGATGACTCGACGAGGGATTCCGTATCGTAAGATTATGTTGTCTATGAAACACTTGGCGCAGGCAGCGGCAGTAGCAGATTCTAGCGGGAATAATTCTACCCAACGACTAGCAGTGTCTTCCACTACCAGAATCCATGTATAACCTTGAGGAGAGAGGGGCAAAGGCCCAAATAAATCAATAGATAGCACTTCAAACCTCTGGGACTGAACAGGGGTTTGTAGGAGACCAGCGGGTTTGAGGTTAGAGACTTTATAGCGTTGGCACTCAAGACATTTACTTACATGGTCAGAGATAATTTTCTTCATTCCAGGCCAATAGTAGCGTTTTATTATTCTTTGATATGTCTTCTCCACTCCATAATGACCAGCAGTAGCGGAATCATGGTACTCATGCAGTATGTGAGGGATACGTGTACTAGCCACTACCAATTGGGGCTCTTCTTCATCTAGTTCAGGAGTATAACGGTATAATATCCCATTGTTCATGATATATCCTCTTTCTGCCCACCTCTTAAAATCTACGCTTGTGTCAGAAGAGGGATCTTCTAAACACCTAATAATCTTGGCAACATCTGGATCATTAAGCTGCTCTTCTCGAACATCAGCAACACTAAGAGTTGGAAAATCTACTCTTACTAGATGAACTTCAGCTATGATGGGAACTTCTGTCATGGGAGGCCTTGATAGAGTATCTGCGATTACATTTTTTCTTCCTGTGATATATTCTATTTTTAGGTCATATGGCATGAGCTCTAGAGCCCATCGAGCTAACCGTCCAGTAGGGGACTTTAAGGTCATTAGAGATTTTAAGGCTTGGTGATCACTTTGCACTATGGTAGTAGCGCCTTCTAAGTATCCTCGAAATTTCTTCACTGCCCAGACCACAGCGAGAGCTTCTCGTTCTGTAGTGCTATAGTTTTGTTCAGCAGGAGTCAGGAGTCTCGAAGCATACTCTACAGGTCGTTCGTTCTCTTTCTCCCCCTGCAGAAGACATGCCCCCAAAGCATAATTGCTAGCATCTGTACGAAGGATATAAGGTAAATTGCAGTCAGCTTGTCGTAGGATTGGGGCGGAACACAATAATTGTTTCAGACATTCGAAGGCCTCTTGTTGTTCTGCTCCCCAGGTCCATTTCACATTTTTCTTGGTTAAATTCGACAAAGGTTTAGCAACATGGGAGAAATTTTCGATGAATCTACGGAACCATGAGCATGTTTGCAGGAATTTTAGCAGTTGAGTAACATTTAGGGGTGGTGTCATGTTTAGTATGGCAGATACTTTATTTTCACTTGGTCGGATACCCAAAGGTGAAAGGATGTGTCCGAGATATTGGACTTCTTCACAGGCGAATGAACATTTTGCTCTATTTAGACATAATTTAAATAGGCGCATCCGGTTGAATACTTGTTTCAAATCGTCTATGTGATCAGAGAAGGATGGGGATAATATTATCAGATCATCTAAATAAGCTAGGATATTCAGAGTTTGAAGACCAGCACGAAATTTATCAATCATCCTTTGGAAACTAGCGGGACTGTTACACATACCAAAGGGCATGCGTGTGTAACGAAAGGTGCCAAATGGACACACGAAGGCTGTTTTGTCACGATCAGCTGTTCGTACAGAGATTTGATGATAACCATATTTTAAGTCGAGGGTAGTCATAAATCGGGTTTCCTTTGCTGCATGCAAAATATCTTCAATACGTGGCAGAGGGTACTTATCTGCACGTGTTATTGCGTTTAAGCGTCGATAGTCTACTGTTAATCTGATACGTCCATCTTTCTTAGGCACAAGTACCACGGGTGAAGCATATGGGGACTCACACTCTTCGATTATGCCTTGAGCCAAAAGTTTATCTAATTCCTGACGCAGTAATTGCCTTTTGGGCTCTGACATACGGTAAGGTGGAACAGATATTGGTACATCATCAACCAATACAATGGAGTGTTCAGCATATGGAGTAGGGTCTCTATTATATACGAATAAATCAGAATTTTCCTTAACAATGTTGTTAAGATTGGAT